CGCCGCTGCTGCTTCTCCCGATGGCGGCCGCTGCTGCTTCTCCCGATGGTCGCCGCTACTGCTTCTCCCGATGGCGCTGTTGCTTCTTCCGATGGCGCTACTCCTCTCCTCCATCGCTTCCACCGTTCAACCGGCAACCGGTGACGGCGACTTCCGATGGCCGCCGCTGCTGCTTCTCCCGATGGCCGCCGCTGCTGCTTCTCCGATGGCCGCCGCTGCTGCTTCTCCGATGGCCGCCGCTGCTGCTTCTCCGATGGCCGCCGCTGCTGCTTCTCTGAATGGCCGCCGCTGCTGCTTCTCCCGATGGCGCTGCTGCTTCTCCCGATGGCGCTGCTGCTTCTTCCGATGGCTGCCGCTGCTGCTTCTCCGATGGCCGCTGCTGCTTCTTACAGCAACTACATCACGAATTTGAAGAAACTCTTCAAATACCTTTCTTCTTGTTTCATGCAAGTAAGGAATTATATTTTGATGGTGGTTTCGTACTCGATTTCGCCAACAACTTGATTAATTGAAGTACTTATTAGGGATTTTAATGAAGTATTATGATTTATTTTGAGAGTTTACATTGATTATGATTGCTGAATGTTGTTGTTGTTGTTGTTGATGAATTATTAGGGCTGTAGTGGTACTAGGACCAGTGTTACCAGAATGCATTTCGTAGTGAAAAAACACTAAATAGCTCACTGGGGGTAAATTGGTCATTTTGACCAGTTCTATCATGTCCTGTCCTGTCTTACCAAACGCTGAACAACTGTCCTGTCCTGTCCTGTCCCGTCCTGTCCTGTCTTGTCCTGTCCTGTCCTGTCCTGTCTGCGCACCAAACGCACCCTAAGTTAATACATGGAATTATTTGTTCTCTTTAAATATTTTTTTGTAGTTAAAATATGATTTCTATGAGCATGTTAGAGATGATATACATCTATATATGAAAAGTGAGGGAGGTTCTATAAAACCTAAAATTGATTAGAAATCAAAAAACCACGTGTCCTTTCGAACGAATATTCATCATGAATACTATAATACATTCTTGATTAATATGTGCAATATTTTTATGATGAATAACACATGCATATTCCTGATTAATAGGCCACATGTCACGTTGTTCTATGTGGTCTAAAATCCATATCAGATCTGGTGTCAACACATACTCACAACAATATGACACTAGTATCACAATGGGTTTGCATCTTAGTGTTTAGAAATTCTGTGGTATCAATCTTTGGTCAGACTAAGGTTTGGAAAAAGGGAGGACAAATGAGAGGAGAGAAAAGCTCGAGATTTATAAAAGACTAATTTACCACTAAATATTATCTACAAATTTAAATTTTGAAAATTAACGGAAAATTACCGAAATTAATATTTTTAATAATAGTCATTGATTATTAATTATGTGCGGTTGAGATTAGATCTTACGATTATCATAAACAACTAAGTTTTCCCTTGAGTGACCCATTATATGCATATATGTAGCCATAAGTTAGTTTGAGAAGTAAAGAAGTGGTCTTAACCTTCTAAGTTTAAGATTAGATTTAATTGGTCAAGAATTTGGGCTTTAACCGGTCAAGAATTTGGGCTTTAACTGGTCAAGAATTGCAGGTTTGACTAGTCAAAATTTATGGCTATGTGAAAAATAAGAGGAGTTGTTTTGTAACTTTTATAAATAGATGGCAAACGGATTCATATGTGAACCCGCATGATTCAAATATGAACCATATGTTCATAGGTGAACCCGTGTGATTCAAATATGAACTATATGTTAATATATGAACCCGTGTGATTCACATATGAAATATTTTAACGCATTCAAATATGAACCTGTGTAATTCACATATAAACTAATTAACTGATTCAGATATGAACTCGTGGGTTCATATGTGAATCACGCGGGTTGACATATGAACATGTTTGCCACTTATTTGTAAAATTACAAAACCATCTCTCTATCTTCCGCATACACATGTGAGAAATTATTCGGTGTTTCACAGTTAAAGCCGTAAATGTTGACCAGATGAAAAGTTATAATCATTTATACACTCCTCAAATACTTATCCATTCTCAAATAAACCTTTCCTTATATGTTATGGTCAGAAGTATGAGAAATGATTTCCACATTTGGATCAATCCTAAGAAGATCAACACTAATGAGATGCACCAGATCAATTCTCGTGAGAAGTGTGATTCATGGGATCGGGGTGAGATTAAAAATAATCAATGATCTATATCTTTTCTTATGCTTCTCATTTTAACTCTTATTCTCACACGATCATTCGTCTATATATATATATATACATACATACATACATACACGTGTATGTATGAGTTTTAGATACAAATCATGTAAATGTTTCAAACTCTATAAACCAATTTTAACCAATTGTGAGATAATCAACGATGTGGATTAAATTAGTTCCTAAATTTACTCTCTAACTACATCTACAACTGATTTGATATCCGCCTCTAGATTTCAAAATATACACAAATTCGAGGGTTGAGTTTCGTTTGTAACATTTACATAGTTTTATATAAAATTCTGTCAATTATTCAAAAATTATTTTAATTAGATTTTATTTATGATGTAACTTATTATTTATACTACATTATAAATCAAATTTGTCAAAAGTCTTAAAAACAATTTTTAATGTACAAAGTACTATACATTTATGCACAAATTCTTAAAAGTTTTAAAAACAATTTTTAATGTACAAAGTACTATACATTTATGCACAAAGTCTTAAAAGTCTTAAAAACAACTTATAATCATTAAGTACTACTAATTTATGCATTCAGTCTTAAAATATCTTAATTTATAATTAAAATAACATATAGTACAAGTTACCAATACACATTATTACTTATTCTTTTCATGTTTCCAAAATACTTTTGACACCTTTTACTCATGACTTCACCCTCTCATGCCTCTATGTCTTCTACTCATCCCCCAAGGTGAGATTGAAATTGATATTCACCATAAGTTATTAAAAGTTTTCTCATTTATTTCTCATTCAATTGCTCTAGAACTCTTGGTCTTGCTCTCGATCTCTTGATTCTTTGCTCTTGGTGTAATCGAACACATTTGTGGAGTAGTTTAAATATGTTGGATTTTAAATATTGGATTTTAAACTGTCATACAATTTTTTTCATCGATAAACTGTAATTGGAACCATAACTCTTATTTATTCAAATTGTATTAATATGTAAAGATCAAATGTAACTTATATCATTGTTAAATCTTCTTTAATAAAATAA